GAAAGGAAAAAGGGAATAGAGAGAAGTTCTGAAGACAAAATCATTTTATTTAAATTATGGTTTTGTGAATGGTCATTTCTGTAGGCAACAAAATGTTGTTTTCGTAAAAAAAAAAAGAAAATTAAACAAACAGCACCATTAAAGAAAGCATGATCCCTGAATTCTAAACAAAACACTGTCTTGAAACAAAAACATTGCTAAAACGCTTGTTTCACCCAGTCACGTCTGGTAGGGTAATAAAGAGAAGCATAACAGCATTAAACTGTAGCAATCCGGCTGAAACCAACTACACCCCCTTCTGAAGATTCAGAGAACCACCTTCTGAGCTTGTCCTGTGGGAATATTTTCTTTGGTTAGAGGACTGAAGGAGGGTATTTACTTCACTGAATGCAGATAGAAAAAATACCTATGCACATTTGGGATCTCCCCAATAAATCTGTATTTCTCATGCATGTTACGTATGAGTGGATTTCACATTTGCTGTTATACTGCAGGAGTAATACTGCCCTATAAAGGCAAAGAATGGCTAATGTTGAACAGATGTAAACATTCAGAATACTGACAAAAAAAAAATACATACACACAAAAAACCCTGTACTGAAAATGTGAATCGAGTTAAGTTTCTGTAAAGCAGAAAAAATATTTTACAGCAATACAAGAGAATTATGGCAACAAAGTAAAGCACTTTTCTTGTAACATTCATGAACAGTACAAATACAACAAAGTTATTCTACGGACTAAATTATTCTTTAACTATCAAATATAGTACAAAGCGAAATATTATGTGCTATAAAAGAAGCAGCTCCTTAAATTAGACTAAAAAAATGCCTTATTTTGTTTTGTTGTTTTGTTTTGTTGGTTTTACAGTGACAAAGCATGATGACCGAAGACAACAGGATTTCATAGATTCAGAAACATTTAGCTACACAGGTCCATGATAAATCCACTGAGTATTTTGTTGCTTCCCCCGCAGTGTCCTGCAGAGCCACAGAAGACGAAGAGCTGCGCTGCTGCCGGGACGCTGCAGAAGTCAGTCAGTGCTCAGAGCAGGGCCGCTCACCTGTGTCAGCTAAAATGATCCCTTTCCGTGGCACTTCCCAGCTCATCTTGAGTGTTTATCCTGGTATATACTTCACCACACCTTGGAGAAACTGCTAAACCAGAGGCTACAATAACAATTATGAAATTGTGCGTGTGTTTATAAGGGGAAGGGGGTGCAGCATAAGGTAATTTTACTTCAGAAATTGCATTATAAAGCACCATATGCACTAGCTTAAAAACAGTGTGAGGAATTGCAGGGCCCTGAAAAACCATCCACACGTTCTGTAGCTTTACCCTGACAACATGCACCACCCTCAAGAAGAAAGACTATAGAACAGAGAACATACCTTTTGCTTTATGGCTCAACCTTGACTTTTGTCTTTTAAATGCTATTTCATGTACTAGACCTCAGCAGATAAATAAAATTCAAACAGGGAGCATCCAGTTCACCATTTCTTTTTTTTAATTCTTTTTTTTTTTTTTTTCCAAAACATTATTTCAAAGGGAATTTCTGCTTGGAAAATTATTTCAGAACAGGAACACACACACACACACACGTACACACACACATATGCACGCAAATGCCGTAACATTATCTTGCATATCTCACAGGTATGCAATTAAACAATAAAAGAGAGAGGAAAGAAGAAAAAAAAAAGAGTGTTTCTCCCTCTCACCCAAAAGTGCTCTTCCAGGGGTAGGAGTGGGGGAATAATTATGGAGATCTTTAAAAAGAAAAGGTAAATTATACATGCTAGACATCAGGACGCATAGGTACGTACACACAAACATATGAGCAGTGTGTTCTTAAGTAATTATTTCACCGCTTTTCAGTGCATAAACTATTAACACCCAACGGCGCAAACTGAATGGCCATTAGAAAACAATTACATTGGGCCTGAAACCTGGACAATTCAACAAACAAACAAAAGAAGCAATTGAAAATTAACCTCTAAACTTGATTGTGTTCTTATTGAAGACCAAGGGTCGCTCTTCCCCAAGACTTTGTGTGAGACCAGAATCCCAAGTAAATTTTTCAGTCACGTTAGGATTCAGTCAGGCTCCTATATCACCACAGTTGCTTCTGAGTATTTTAATACCCATACATTACAAACAATTGTAACAACCCTTCATGACTGTTGCTAACTAATTGGTCAAATTTATTCCTGGTACAACTCCAATGACTCAAAAATGAAAAGAGTGGAAGATTTTGGTCAGTTGTGTAACGTAACATAGCACCATCCAGTCTAATGCCATTCTAAATAACATTTTATCATGACCTCACACATGCAAGTTGCAATCCTCATACAAAAATGAAAATATGACATGAATGAGTTGTCTACCACATTAGTCACATTCTTATCTTTTGAACACAGTAAAACTATTTTGTGGCCAGAATTTATTTCTGAATTATGTCAGTCAATACAAGAAGTATTTCAAGACGCAAATACAAATAAATACTGACTTATGTGCTGTGGACAGGAAAACCTGAGCTAGAAATGAGGATTCCCAGCAGGCTTATAAACATAGGTTATTAAAAGTCCACGACTGGTTGCTCTCTTTGTTTTAAATAGAAGTATCCTACCTCTACCAACTATAAATACAATGCAATACAATTCTGAATACAAAGGCTCCTCAAATATGAATTTGAATTGCATTAACTGACCGCACTCATGCTTACTCATGAGTGTTTTCCCGTCACTGTTTTGCCAGCAGCTGGAGTAGCACTGGATGCTAATTTTCATGTGATTACTTCAAGGTTTTTGCTTGTCTGGCTTATTTTCTTACCAGAAGACTTGAAAAACTGCTTCTTAACTCACGTGTCATATTAAGGAGCACTTTTGTATAGAAAAAATATATTGTTGTATCAGCAACAAATTTGTTAGTGTAATTATAAATGGTTTTTGTACCACACAGTGTCAAAAATAAGATTGATATGTTGCTAATTACAATAAGAGAGAACATCAAGGTGCACCATAAAGCTTCCTATGACAGGAATGTACATTGTAGATATTCCAGCTCACTTTTAAGACAATAAATGGCATTTATCATGTTTGTGAAAATGGTCCCACAAGAAATAAATGTGGTTCCTCCATTCAGTAGATCCTCACTAACGTATACCCCTGTCAGGGAGACTGGTCACAGCTTATGAGTAAGTATGGAAACAAAGATCATATTAAAAATGTAGAGTGTAAAATGTAGGATACTTTTTATTTCCTAAGTGTAGTTCTGTCATTAATATTTCAGAATGCAACAGTAAATGCATCATAAAATCCAAGCAGTATTACATCTTACACATTCTTACTACACTGCTCTCCAAAACTTGTGGAAGGAAAATCATGAGCAGATTGTAAGGTCTTCAGATTAGTGAGGTTCTACTGTAATGGTAAAAATAACATTTCTCTCTGATGCTGACATTTGGGCAGACCCAACCACACACTAGCAGATGGATGACTTGCACTCCACATTTTGTGATCTTGAAGTAGGAGTGAAAAAGAACCCATCTCCCCAGCAACTGCATGTGCTTTATCCCTTTATAATGTTTTCATTTTAGGTGAATACGGCCTCCAAATTATCATTTTTCTTCTCTGCTGTTATGGTAGCTAGTGCATCTGGAATGCAGCTATAGTCCTAAATGTCAATACAGTACTGGATAAATACTGAAGGTTAGCTTAAAAATGCAGTATCCCTTTTAAAAATGCCTTTTTCCTTCCAAATTTCTAAAAGGGGTCTGAATTCCTTTGAGAAAAAAAAACACAACAGTCAGAGCTGTAAGTAATTCCAAGAATTACTTCAAATGGCAAAACTCTGAGATGTTATTTAAATAAAGTAACTCACATAACAGGTAAAACAAATTATAATCTAATATTCAAACAATATGCAATTAGAATCTTTCTGTATTAATTCATCATAAGAACAGCTCATTTTTAGGCCACAGAAAGGCTAAAACATCCAGAACCTATTACGTAAGTCTGACTTTCTCTCTATATATTTATATTTGGGATTGACAATTCAAGTGGACAGAGTAGGGAGACGAATACAAATAAAGAATATCTGTGTGGGAAACCAGAAGAGAAAACAGGTTTCTTATCCCCAGTAGATAAGTTACTTTCTCTGGACTCTAATGAAGCCAATGTGATTCCAGTGTTGGTCCCACTAACCCACCGCATACACAAATCTTTCTGAAGGAATCAACAAGAAGAGATGAGTAAGACTTGAGTTCCACAGTCCCTGGCGGGCATGTAAGGAAACTCCTCTAACAATCTAAATTTCTCTTTTTTTATTTTATTTTATTTTTTCCTTTTTTCTAGGTGGAGTGACTATATTTTAGCCCTAGATAGTGAAAGTCATTAGAAGAAAATGATCCTATCAGCAGAAAAACTGCAAACCAACCTAGAAGCTACTACAGCTGCTACTCTGCACCTTTGTAGTACCCCACTCAAAACAGTCACTATTCAGTGTTATTCATTCTGCATAGTTACTCCAGTTCTTGCAGAGTTAATTCTTCCACTGATATTTAACCTGCAGATTGCATCAGCCATCAGAAAGTGGAGAAAAAACGTGCTGCACTTTGTGCAAATAAATAGAAGCTATAAATGACATGCACCAATGCCTTTTTTTTTCTTTCTTTCTTTCTCTTTCTTTCTTTTTTTTTTTTTAGCACAGCAAGAGAGCTCATGGAAGGTCCAGTAACAAGGCTTTTTTTAAAAAACAAACAAACAAACAAACTACTTCTACAGGTTTCCTCTTCTTCCCAGAAAATGGCACTCAGGCAGGAATAACTAAATTCGGAAAGCACCACGGGGAAGAAAATAATAATAAAAATAATAATAATAATAAAAAAACCCCAAGTCAATCAACTAGTTGCAAACCTTCAGTGGCCTAAAGGGTTCCAATTCTCTGTTCCTTTGTCCTGCACTCCCACGCTGATCAGGGATACTGCATCTTTGACTCAGTTCCTACCGTACAACCAGACAAGCTACACACAGTTTGGAAGGCCCTATGCAGTCATCATGACAGAAGGCTCCGCAGCCTTTGCACACGATCATGGCTTTCAGCCTGCAGGAGCATTTCAGTTCCAGTTCATCGGCATTGCTGCTGTCAGCAAATTTCTGAACCGGGATCTGGGCGTTCTGGTTAGGCAGACCTGTGGCAGTGTTCGAGCCACTTCCTAAAATCCCAATTGATTTCTCAATTGCAGATGCCGCCCTTTTGAAGCTTGTGCTACCGAAGTGTATTGTTGGGTAATTCCCACAGAGCTGCTGCTGCTGCTGCTGCGGGTGCTGCGTCTGTATTTTCTGAGCAGCAAGTTGGGTAAAAGGCTTCTGTGGCTCAGAGAGTAAATAGGAAGAGAAATCTGCATTTTTTAATGCAAATGCTTTTAACTGTTCTTTCACTTCGTTCTGATCATAGGAAGCTTGCTTCATGCCCAGTTCGCAGCTGCTTCTTAAACCTTCCTCAAAAGAAATAGGTTCAGATTTTATATTGCTACAGATGCTTGCTGGCTGAGGCCAACTAAGTCTTTTAGTGGTTTCCATAGTAACTGTCGGTTGTTTTTGATCAGAGGGGACTTCTGCATTTGGGTGAGGAGGGGGAGGAGGTGGCAGGGGCGGAGGGGGATGCACTAATGTTTTGCTCTGCAGAGTCTGAGAGGCACTGGCAATGTCATCACCTTCCTTAATTTGAATATTGGGGGAAAACACACTTCCTAGCCTCAGCTGGTGAGCTGCTGTAGAAATATTCACATCTCCCAAGCCCTTCTGTTCCAGGTGTCTGCTAAAAGTAAATGCGTTGCAGCCAGGTGGGCCTTTTGAAGTAGTTTGCAACAAAGCTGCCGTAGGAATGGGGCCTCTTGCAGCCATGGACATTTGGTAAAAATGCTGTCTATGTGAGGTACTAGCATCTGCATGAAAGCTGCCATTTTTATCAATATGAAATAAGCTCTGCTGGAAACTGCATGAAGGCAGAGGCCTCTTCTGCTGCTTGATCTCTGGGCTGTGAGCGATTTGGTTCTGAATGGCATGTTTGCTCAGCCACTCCTGCTTAAATGGCTGACCATGCCCTAGCTGATTCATGCTGGAACTAATTACACAAGGAGCCACTTTAACATCTGTGTCCATCGACACTTTCCCAGGCTCACATTTAATTTGAGCATGTTCCCCTACAGTCCTGGCCATCCTCTTTTTCGGATGGTTTTCACGCTTTCTGATTTGTAGAGGGGCTATGCTGCCTGTTGTAAACCCTTTACCATCTGGATTAGGAGAGTTGGAAGGATGTTCAACAATATTTCTCTCGGACACCGCTGTTTTACATACTGAGGTAGTTTGCAAAGGCAAGGGAAGCCTGTTAATTTCTAGTTTGGCTCCTGATCTGGGCTGCGGCAGCACTTTCTCTAGAGGCAGATTTCCTTGCAGTAACTGTGTCACTAAAGGATTGTTGGCCTCCACTGACGACAAGCGACAGCTAGAGCCGCCGGCACCGGTAACTCTCTTCAGGGTTTCTGTTGTCAGGGACAGGGAGTCTTCCATGGAGTCCGCAATGGATGCCTTGGAGGTCTGTGGTGGCTGCACACTCGTGGCTATTTCCGCAGCCTGGGCAGGCATTTCAGGTCCTGTAAAATCCTCGGTGTCCATCCTGAAGCACTTGTCAGACTCGTTAGTTTCCGCTTTCACAGGAACAGCAATGCTCGGCAACAGACTCCTGGACTGCAGTTCTGACATTTGTGGGTAACTGGAAGGTTCGGTTTTGACATTTTTTAGGCAGTTTTGCTCTACGTATTCCTTATGCTTACCGGAGTGAAGATGGCTGACCACTGGCTGGTCTGTGCTCATTGCCTCTTCATCATGCCAACAAATTCTATTGTTAGCATTATACTGATTGGCACAGGCAGCATCTGCTTCATTTTTAAATGCTGAAGGACCCCTTAATTGCTCAGCAAAACCTTGGCTGGGAGTAACCACCTCATTTAATTTATCTTGAGGAGCAAGAGGCACTTCTCGAAGACTTGAACAACCTGCCTGCAAGTTCTTGCTGTCTTGCTTTGCTGTGATGGTGAGAAAGCCGGAACTGTGCTCAAGGCTTTCATTAGAGACTGCTTCAGGCCTGCTTATGACAGACACCTGAGGACAGGCTATACTTTGTAAGGCAGCTTCTGTCCTTACAGGTCTGCTCTGCAGGTCAATGCTGTTCTCTGCATTTTCAATAGAAGAAGAAAGGGACAGACTGGAATTCAGATTTGTAGTGTGGTCAACAATGACCTTGCAAGGTATAGACCTATTCATGGCAGTTTGTGCAAAGCTCACTGGCTGAGATTTACAAGAGAGATCCATTCGGTTTCGTGCTCCAGAGCTTTTTTCTAAGAGATCAGCATTTAATTTAGTAGCATTTTCATAAGAGCTTATTGTCACCATGTTACCAGTAAACATTGAAATGGGCGGCCTTGCAACAGAATCTGCCACTGCAAGGGCCTCACTGCAGCTTAGAGCTGACCTAGCAGTCGTGTGAATGGAGACAGTGCTCTGCTCGTTACACCCAGTTATGGCTATCTTATCAGAAGAAAACCTGTTGGTAGTCCCCACTGGGGGAATCAGTACGGAACTACCAGAGAGATGATTTGGCAAATTATTTGCAAGAGATGAAGCTGGCACCACGGTGGCGTAATGACTGGAGACTGCGTTACTCGCATTGCTACTTGGTATCGGCAGCCTCTTCTCATCCATGGCGCTTGATAAGGCCGCACTGTCTATGGAGACTGGTACGTTACTGTTATCAACACATTTTGGTCCAACAGTTATGCATGGAGTATCAGCCCCTGGGATGGTTTTCAGCATATTGATATTACACGCTGAAACTGCTGTGTTTGCACTGTCAACAGACATTAAAACAGAGGATTTATCAACAGAACTTGCAAAAGAAAGTTCTTTAATTGCTCCAGACATAGCAGTGCTGCAAACAGACACAGAGACCGAACTTTTATTATAAAGCACTGGCACACTGTTACTTTCAGTAGAGGTAGATGAAATAATTTTCTCACACAATTGTGGCATAGGTATATTTTCATCAGAACTGTGCACAGGTATCTCAGTAGCAGTTTCTGGTAATGTAGCTGTGTTAAGTGACTGCTGCAACAAAGCCGTAGCCTCGCGGTGATGAGCAGACTTGTTGCTAGGGGACCTGCAGTTAGGATTAACTATAATGACACCGGTAGAACCTTCAGTCTTTGTGTCAGTAGAAGCTGGTATCTCCAGAGATGAGGTACTTTCCTTTGAGCTGAACTGAGACTTGGATTCTTTATTAGTCTGGAGTAAATGAGCTCTGGCTTGATGCTTTGCAAATAGCTTGGCCTTTGTTTGCTCCTTGATGTGTGCCAGTGTTCTTGTCTTCCCACCTTCGCATGGGGTCCCCATTGCTCCAGAGACTATGCTCGCAGCTGCTGCCACGGCTGCTGCAGCTGCAGCTTCTCTTTGGGCTCTTGCTTGCTGAGCTCTTGCTTTGATATCTGCAAGAGTTCTAGCCCCAGTGTTTCTCCCGCTGCTGACCGACGTACTTGGGGAAACCCGAGGCTCTGGTTTAGAAACAGGTTGGCTCTTGATGATAAATGGTGGTCCAATTTTTGAAAGCTGAATCTAAAGGAAGGGAAACAAACAAAACACCACAGTAATTTTAATGAGATCACTGACTTGCTAAAATCATCAGCTGTCTTTCAAAGGGTCAGAGAAACGTAATGAAGGGAATTATTTCTCAGTGCAGCTGGACAGAAAAATGCTACAAAATAATGCTAATAGACTTCAGTATTTTATCATCCTGCAGCATGAAAAACTGACACCGTATTAGCCTACTCACATCGATCCTTTTGACAGGAAGAAAGATTGAACTGGATGACAACATGATGCTTATCTGACACAATTTGTCAGACCTGTTTTATATGCAGTGTATCTAACTGAGATCATCAACAAGCCTAGTGCAGTGATACTGGAAAAGAGCCTACAAATAAGCACTTGCTGAAGGTGTGTGAAAAAATAACAATCATGTAATGCATTTGCTCCTTGGTCTCCAATGACTAAGATATTAGGAACAGCTTGTCTTTTACTCACATACCAGACAACAAATCCTGCCTTTAAATAGGATGTAGCAGTGTCTCCACTGAACCTGTTTTTCATGTTACACCACAGAGCACTTTAGAGTAGTGGTATAAAAGAAGTAAATCACCAAAGGATACTCCTTTCATTTCCTCATTCACAATTTTAAGAGACTTGCTTTAGTACATCCCTGAGATACGTCCTACATTACTGCATTTCAAAAAATTAAATACTCAAACCTAAACATACTACAAATGCAATAACTAAAGTTTTAAAGACCTAAACATTTAAGCAAAATAATAACCTGTAAAATTACTGGGATTATTATTATGTTTCCAATTAGGCACATCTGATTTCAGGATTAAAGATTAAGAGTCCTGTGACCACTTTATAACTCATACATTCTCTCAGACTATGCAAAGGTTGGCAAAAGTAAGTTAAATTTCTTAAAAGCAATATATGTTATTGGCTGTCCACAGTAACAGGACTTAGCGGTAATGCTGTGATTACTCTTCAGAAAGGGACTAGGAAGAAAACGACACGATATTTGTAGAAAAAGTAGTTGTTGGGTATGGTGGGAAGTAAAACCCATCAACGATGTAGGAGAACTAGGGTTGTTTTTCAGGATAGTGGGTTTCTTGGTGACATAACCCAAGAGACAAACATTTGTTACACAAAAAAATATACTAGAATTGATTGTCCAAAATTATTTTTTTAAATGCTTGCCAATTTTTCAGTATTCTCATTCATTGGCTGGAAGCTTCAGGGAGATTCAGTTCTTAAGACTGTGCAAGGTTGATAGCTTCTGATTTTCCGTAAGAGATGAGTGGAAATCAATATCTAGATGGTACTGAAACATATAACCATTTATATAACCATACATTTTTATGCTGGTCTGGAGGGCTGGAATACTTCAGTTTTCCCAGGAGCTAAATTTTTGCTTGTAAATAAACACTCATGACTAATACTGTGAGGCTTTAACATTTACTTGAAAATATATTAAAGAATATCACAAACTCAGAGTACTTTAAAACATTTTGCTTTCTGTTTCGGTAGCACCTTTTTTCAGTATCTACTTTGCATCATCAGAACTGCTAAAGGAGCACTTGAATATTTTTATTATTATAGTGATGACCTTTTCCAATTCCCTAGTGATCTATTTTCCTTTGTCCTTAGAGAGTGATTAGAATTTATTAGGCTAGATAGAGACCTTCCAAATATGAAAGCACATCACTAAACTCAAAATGGGCTAACTTCCAATTGCATCACTGCTCATAAAAATAAATTAGTTGAAATATGCTGCCGCACTGGTGATTAAAACAGTTAGCCTATTTGCCCTCCTGGCCATATTAACAATGTTCGCTGATTGCAGCAGTTAAAAATAAATGCAGAAAAGGACAATTCTGAATAGTCAGGAACTAGTATTGCAAAGTCAATGGTTTAAGTTCAGCAAATTGGATTGGCTGATGTCATCATGTACAAAATTAAAAGGGTCAAAACTCTGAGCCTCTATTGTTAGGAAAAAGAAACCCACAACAAAATGTTTTCAACTGGAATTAATTTTCTTACATAGCAGAATGATATACATAAAAATGTTTGGTTAGTTGGTGTATCTTTTTAACCTTTTGCTTTGCCATCAACAAAGATTTCTATACATATATCAATTAGGTACTTCCCCCTAATAGCCAGGTCTTTAATTTCAATTAATTATATGGGGGAATCTTCAGCCTGCCCCATGCTCTCGGCTTGTACAGGGGTCTCCAACTATTCTGACTATAGATTCTCTTCCTGGATTAAGGCTCTTGATGGTTTTTTTTAGTATTGGCTATGGTATTATTCATGCTTGCTGGAGAAGTAATCTGCAGGAGAACAAGCAAATAATACAGGTGGGGAATTAGAAAAACAAGTAGCACTGTATAAACCATGGGGAAGCTCTTGAAATAGATTAAGCCATGGATCCTGGACAACCTTCCCTCACATAAAAGCAATTTTTTAGCAAAGACCCTGAATAAGTATATACATATCAGAAGAAACCCGGCATGGTAGGAATTTAACAGGAAAGTGAGACCATCAGTACTAACACCCCTCACATCTCCACAAAAAAATACACCATGTGCAGTCAGCAAGAGGGAGATAATAAACCTTTTGTTTTCAAGTCAGCCTGTTTGTTCCTTACTTTACCTTAAGTGGTGGAACTCGGGGTTCTTCTCTGGGTGGCTGATCTTTATCAGACGGACTTGTTGATGAAGCACTACGGTTAGGCTGATCGTCATCTATTCTAGCTCTCTTCTCTTTGAAGATTCCAAAACTGTGCTGTTCTGCTGTTTTCCTCTTTGGGATCTCTGGGTCTCTACTTTCATTCCTCACTTCAGGTGATTTTGTGGGTTCTAATGACTTGGAAGAATGTGAACTCTCTAGACGGCTTTGGTTGCTGCCTGTCTGCTTGTGAGGTTTACTCCTGCACACTTCAGAGAGCGTAGCTTTCTCTAGAGATGAGGTATATAGTTTATCATGTGGCTTCGTTGGAAGCAATTCGATATTTTTGCCGACTGGTCCTTCCGATAAGACAGCTACTTCTGATGGCAAGAGTGTTCCTTTCTTCTCACCTCTTTGCTGAACACTGTGATTTTTAATTTTGATCACCTCTGGAGGCGAGTGTTCTGGTATGGATGCAATGTAGGGTTTTTCAGTTTCAGAATGTGACTTACATGGCTGGTGACTTAGGTTTTTGCTTTGGGACTCTTCCAACACTGACGTATCAGGTATAATTGCTAGTGGACCAACTTTCAAATTTGCAGGGGCACTCTGAAGTTGCTTTGGCTGAATAACAAGATTCTCTTCTGGAACCACTTTAGAAATGGCAGAGCTTTCTTCTTTCAAAGTGGGAAGGGAGTCTTCCAACAAACAAGGTGATTTCCTTTGTGGCAGAATTAGTCTTTCATTGCTTGGGGAATTAGAAACTGGAGATGTCTCTGATGGAAGAGGCAAACTATTTGCCACAAGTGTTTCAGAAGTTAGAAGAACAGAAGATACTGAAGATGTTTCTGATGCTAAAGGCAAATCAGACATTGGAGATGTTTCTGATGTTAAAGGTAAATTAGAAGCTGGTGATGCCTCTGATGTTAAAGGTAAATTTGACATCAGAGATGCTTCTGAGGTTACAGGTGAAGTGGACATTGGTGAGATTTCTGACATTAAAGGTGTGTGCAAGTTTTCATCCCTGGCCTTTTGCTGAATATCTCCATCAATATTTTCAGTACTGGACACTTCAGATGAGCAAGCTGTTTCAAGAGATACTGGAGTACAGGGTTCCTCTGAAGTTGACTGAGTGTCTCCTCCAGGAGAGGCAATACAAACACATGGTCCATCTGGACTTCCAGAGGAAAAGGAAGTTTCAGAAATACAAGCATTCTCAGATGACTGTTCCTCGGGGTCACTTTGAAGCTCCATATCCACTGCAATGCCTCCTCCAGTGAACAAAGAACCTTCCAGAGCAGCATTTTGCATTTCTGGTGCAATTAGCTCTTTTGCAGACTCAGATTCCTTCTCTGCTGTATCACTGACAGAGTTTGTGGATGAAGCTGATTGTGCTGGTGATATGCAATCTTCCAGCTGATCTATCACAACTGACATCTCCTCCTGAGGGCTTTCTGACTTCAACTCCACCTTAATTTCAATGTGAGATACAGTATCAGTTACATCATTCATCATGACACAGGACTCAGTGCTGTCTGCAAGCTGTACTGCCTCTGTTTCTTCATTTGTGCCAGCTGGACTTACTGACTCCTCAGAAAACTCATGTTCTGTTTTATGGTTCTCCTCTTGGCATTCACAAATACTTGTCTCAACCTCTTCAGCAATCTCCTCCTGAATGACTGATTCTTCAGGTATCAGTATATCCTCAGAGTCTGCTGTTGCATCTTTGACAGGAACCTGTTCCATATTACAAAGAGATGGACAATAATCTCCCTCCGGTGAAGGTGTAATTTTAGCACCTTTCTCTTCTTGGTCCTCAAAGGTTGCTTGCTTAGAAGGACCAGGTGTGCCAGAAGATCCACACAAAGAATTGCTTTCACTTTCATCATTATTCTGCACTGCAGTGAGTTTCATAGATTCCCCTCTTGACATTCCCAATCTAAAGAAAAGCACACAAATTTAAAAGGCTTTTTCACCACAGGGATGACAACAGAATAGGGATTTAGGGTCAACACAACCAGCAACATAGCTTAAATGCTGCACATTAAAGAAAAACCTGTAACTAAACCTAATAAGGAGAAGCATGTGCTTCAATTTTGTAATTTGGCAGTAATTTCAAATTTATGATGAAAATCAAAACAATTTCACTTCAGCCTCCTTTTGCAACTCATGTCAATTATAAAGATCTCAGCTGACAGGCTGTGTGATTTTGCTCCATTCTTTCAGCAAAGTAAATACTTCATTTAAGAGAAAACCATTTCTAAGTAAACAGATCTATAGGTATAATACTAATTCGATGTCACCGTAATTAAAAATAAGTTTAACATTCTTAACAAGGTAAAAAGACACATTTATCAACTATGCATTCATTATCAGGGATAAAGTACAAAAGAACCCTTCATATGTATACTTCTGAAGATTTTCCTACCTTCTGAAATGCTAGTTTAAAAGAAGTTTTACTACTTTCACAGAATAAAAAACCTCACAAAACAAAACCCAAAGGCCAAAAAAGAAAGAAAGAAAAGATTATTTTAAAATATGTATGTGCTCTGACATCCTCATTTCCTCCTAAGGACAGTGGGACTACAGGTGTTCAACATCTTTAGTAAGATTTTTCAAGCAGACTTTGTGCCTCAGTAATTCCATAACTGTAGAAAAAACACAAAAGCTGGGATTGAGGCCTTAAAAGACATTTCATGGTTTTAAGGATTTCCTAATCTAATTAACAGATTTTTGATCCCTGTTCTCTTTTTAACCAAACAACAGAATAATATGGAAATAAGTGACCAAAAAAGATATTCAGAAATCATGAAAGATAATTTGCCAGTGTGCAGCGAGAGGATATAAAGACTATAAAGGTCCATGTATATTGAAGTATAGAATAAACATGTAAAAATCCAAAATCTGTGGTTGTACTCTCAGAGTAATACTGCCTACTACTAGTCACTTGATATGTATAAAGTCTCCCCATACCATCAATATGCTGAGAGCAATTCAGAACAGCAAATTTATACCTCCCGCATTGAATGCATTTCAGATGTGTCTGTTTTCCATACAGACTATAGGTTCCCTATATAGTCTAAGTTTAAGTTATAAGCTTAGTTTAGCCAGGTTTAGGTGAGTAACTTCCTCTAAAATTCTTTGTGTAAATGAGCAAAAGTTTTTTCAGGAAAATGAGGAGGGGAAAGAAATCCACTGCATTATTGAAAACCAAGTAAGTGGTCTATTTTCTCTAGCTGGCTTACATCACAAAAAGTTATTACCTGATAGTTAACTTTATGGAATGGAAATCAACAAAGTAATGAAGGACAAGATAAAGGTGAATGCAAGTGTCTCAAGGACACCACAAAAATACACACATTCTAGTAACACAGTGAAGAGGAAAAAGTGTAAGAAAAGTAAGATAATGAAGAAAAAATGCCAGTAGAGCACGTACAGAGTCTTAGTAATTTCTTTGCAGTATAGAAAGTACTACTATTTTGAAGAAACTACTGCAGTGAAGAAAAAAGCTTTCAAAAGGAGAAGGCTCAAGATCACCATCCTTAAGGCAACCTCAGATTACAAGACGAACAGCTGATGTGTCTTCTTCCTTAGAGAAAAGGACACCAGAAGTTTGCAAAACAGCACAAAAATAGGAGCACAGCAGTAAATGGCCATCAATGAAAGTGCTAAGGACAGGATTCAACTGATAAAGTGAATGCAGTCATGAAATAAAAAAACAGCTACTCAAGGATGTATGGATGCTGATATTTCAGTGCTGTGATAAGTCGCAGCAGGGGGGAAAAAAAAAAAAGACTAAATTACTAAATCAGCAATAAATTTAGGAGGTCTACCCAAAATTAAAACTTTGATTTAGTGAGCTGGCAGCACTGTTATGACATGTAACTCCCTCAAGAGTGGGAAAAGAAATAATATATTGAGGATTCAACTGATAAAGTGAATGCAGTCATGAAATAAAAAAAACAGCTACTCAAGGATGTATGGATGCTGATATTTCAGTGCTGTGATAAGTCGCAGCAGGGGGGAAAAAAAAAAAAGACTAAATTACTAAATCAGCAATAAATTTAGGAGGTCTACCCAAAATTAAAACTTTGATTTAGTGAGCTGGCAGCACTGTTATGACATGTAACTCCCTCAAGAGTGGGAAAAGAAATAATATATTGAGACAATATAGCATAACCCTTGCAATCCTGAGGCAACAAGCAAGAAGAACATAGATTTCTGGCAACATGCATCAGCTTATCCTAGATAAATGACTGCAGAATTAACTTTTTGTTTTTTAAAGACAGTCAGAGAGAGGAAAAATGAATAACCCCGAGGAAGTGGAAAGAGAATATAAACAGATTGAAGTAAATTACAGCTGACAGTCTCACGATAAACAGTCTGGGTACAGATAAGAGCAAACACAAGAAACATAACGTGCAGAGTTAACATGGAAGAAGCACTCTCTGAATGGCATAATCTGCAGAGTGTGTAAAAATGTTTACAAAGTTTCTGCATCTATTAATGGTCCTTCTCTAAATATAAGGTGAAATTTTAGTTTATTTATGGAATATTAAAAGATCAAACTAGCTGAGGTCAGAGCAATAATACCATTGACTGTAAAGTGAGCAAGTTAGACTGCAAGAGACACCTATTTTGCAGACAGTACATGTGAGAAACAGCTCAGGAAGGCTTCAGAATTTGCTACTTCAGATGAATCAGCATAGCTGAAAAGAGACAAATCCAAATCATACTCAAATCAAGTTTAAAAACCAAGGTGAAAAAAGGTGAGAGAACTTACACAAGGTGGAAACTATAGCAAAAGCTAACATTCAGTTGGAAAATACTGAGAAAAAGTACTTTGATCTGGCCTAGCAGCATAGCAGAATCTGCCTACATAACAGCCAGGAAGAAGAATGTAAGTGAAACAACACAGGCTGGGGAAAGGGCAGGAGGGACCAGATTCAATACTGTAGTCAAAATGGAAATTATATGCAATGTGACATTTTGTATAACAATGTTGATGTCAGGAACCTATCAACCCAGATGACACATATCATTGCAGACCAAATAATTATCTGCCAACCATTATAGTGTCCAGCATTCAGCCAGCACAGCAGGACTGCTGGCTCTGTAAAATTTTAAGTGTAATTCTCTGTGCATGTGACACTCATTTGTGACTGAGGAACAGGCTTCAGCTAGAGCGAGGTGCTCACGCTTTGCTGGTACAAAACTTCTACTGCTTGCAGAAGGCCCTATGGCAATACCTTACATGGCCCTTTCCTGTAACTGACTCTTCTTTTGACATGTATAATGAAGAGCTAATATGTTCCTTATCTAAAAACCTAATTGATATTTTTTTTTATACTGCAAGGGATCAACACATGGACTATGCTGAGGTCTCAAAGCTGTTAAGTAAGACATTAAGCACTTAACAATAAGAAAGTCTGCCACACTAAGACCCTATATACCTTTTATATGTAAAGCACAGAAATAGTATTCACACTGGGAGAAAGGACCTAACAAGGATGAGCAAAATAAAATATTAAATAGGATCTGTCCATTTGCTGCTGTCTTCACTATATTTCCCTGTGGTCCAAGGCAGTGGATTTTGAGAAGTAGCAATACTACTGCAGAAATCCTTTAGGTAATGCCTTGATCTTTACATTAATCACTTATATGAAGTGTTCCCCATGCCCTGTATTTCCTCAGTAAAAAACATCTACCGACAAAACTAAGACATCTCATGTGGTGACAGTTCCCATGGCAAATTTTTATCTGCTGATTATTATGCATAAATTCCATTAAAAAATACCTGAAAATAATATTTTTTTTAAAAGCACTAACTTTTAAAGAATTAGTTTATACTTTATAGTAACTAATGCTTTCAATACTTTATATTTTTAAAAACAAAGATGCAATTTACAAAGATGTAAAGGATTACATTTTTTAAGCAATTTTTAAAGGAAGGCTCATGAATTTTAAAAATATGTGAATCTCCTTAAATTTTGATTTTTAAGAAAACTGAATATAAGAACCGAATCTTCAGCTGCTGCACATTGCCATCTCTGTATCATCACCAATAAAACTATGCTGACTTGCCCCAGTTGTGCACCTGGAGTGGTATTATCTAATAAATTCTAGCTAGTTAAAGGGAATTTATATCTTCTTTGCAGTTTGCTTCTAAAATCAGACTAGTAATTGTCACTTTCTTTTGTCTCTAGCCAATATTTCTTCTATGTCATATATTCTACTCCAGCAAAAGGCCAACTCAGTCCAACAATAAAAAACTACTTGAATTTAGAAACTCTGCAACTAGCTTAGAAAAAAATGAAATAAAAACACACTACAGAAATATTTTTACTGGTCTTCTAGTCTGTAGAAGCTGTATTTATATTCTGCAAGAGGAGTGAATTGCCCTAATGCTATCTTTTAAAAGGTAATTAGAAAATACTCACATGCTTGAGCCTTGTGTCTTAAGCTTTTCTAGGAATGAATTTTTCTGGATGAGTTATGAACCTTTTAAAAGGCAATTGCAATTCAAGTGCAGACACACCACTGCAATTCTCCCCAGAACTTCTTATACTGGAGAATTACTGCCTTTGATAACTGCTTTATTAACTTTTACAGCATATGATCGTGATATGTGAAGCAGGGAATTATATTTTTATTTCCTCCTAAAATAAAATAAAAAATTGCTTTTATTTGCTTCAATACTTACTTTTCACCATAAAACCTTTCAAAGAATTTTTCTTTCCAAGGTTCTGTTTTCTTTTCCTTTTCAATCTCTTGTCTGATGCGCAACTGCATTTCTGGTGTAAATTCTCCTAAAAAACAAATACTAACATATTGAATAAAAGTTGTCAAGTATTAGCTTAATATGGGAAATTATAAATTACAGATACAAAGATGACATACAGTGATTTCTGTTACAGTCATCCAAGGATTCCAAATGAAAATACTGGAAACCAGAAGTGCGTGTGACACAGAGAGATTTTATTTACCACATAACATCACTATTTCAAAAGTATATTGGTAGGATTTAGTTGCATGCATTTATATTTACAAGGCTGGGTGTACTGAAAAAGCTTGTGGTGTGGTTTTTTGTTTTTCAACTGTCAAAATAAGCTGCCACAGCAAGCTGTAAAAATGTACACCAAATTCAAAATGGAATCAGCAATTTTTCTTCTGCTGAATTACTGGTGTGTTACACTACATTCTAAAAGTATTTATCGAATGCAGAAACAGAGACATTCTTCATAAAAACAATTAACCTTCAGTAAATCTGAGAACAAGCAGAGTTACCTTCTGCCAATCGCTGCTTCCACCCCTGCGCTGCGTACGCGAAGAACTCATTATTCAGAGCAGAACTACTGAGGCGCAAAACTCCATCACTTCCCATCTAGAAAATAAACCGATGGTGGCAGAAGATAGTGTCAGAAATAGTGCCAGCTGAGATCACGTAGAAACAGAGTTCCAATTAAGGGAACAGAGATAGGGAGTGGGAATAACAAAGACAATTACCTACTATTACTAAACCAGCACTTTCATTATAGCTGTTACCGTAAAATGCAAGTGGGCTAATCCAGCATCAGTGTGCTCTCCTCAGTCTCCAGCATTACTGACAACTCAGTTTACAACTGATTGATGTGTTTTAATCACAGCCTTCTATCTTGTCCCTATGTCTAGTGCTAGTGTACACAATCAAAAATCAAGATCATTATGGTACTTGTGCATCTGCCTGGAATTAAATGTAACGAAGACAGTGTCTTTGCTGATTTTAAATAAGCCTAATAGTCATGTTAGCTAACATGCTGTACTGGCAGAACAGGGGATGACAGGTAACCTTAACAAAATAACTGGTGTAAACTCAGCTTTTAAAACTAAAACTAGTTATACATATATTTTATAGGCATTGACAATGAAAACTGTGGAAGAACATTATAATTATTTTTATTTTCTACATCTGTCAAGAATTAATTGATAAAACACTATTAAAGGCTTAATCACAGTATTTTCTACAATAATTTTTTAAAGAAATCCAACAACTACGCTTTCTTTTTTCCTAATAAAGCTTAATGCTTATTGTCAGGTTGTCTGAGGCTATGTCTGATTATTGAAGGACTTCTAGTAACTAGAAAAAGTAATTACATAAAACAAATTAGCACTGGGTATCACCTCTAGCATAATAAATGAACACAATAAAAACAAACTAGCAAATGAATAGAAAGAGGAAACAGCAGAAGACGTAACATTGCTAGAACAAACAGTCTTAGTATTTTACATATTTAAGGTAACTAAGAGATAAATGTTTGACAACACCATTTGTGATCTAGCAGTAAAATCCATCACATTTTCCAGAATATTAACATATGTTTTAGCTATGTAATATCCCCTAATTCTCAGTGCTTGTTCTGAATTGGAACCAGAAAGAAGCAGATGTGTCAGAAACATTAAATGATATTTAGTTGTATCTCCCTTGCTGAGCTCTGTATTTCACTGACAATAGTGGCTCTACTTTCAAAACAGTCTTTGCTACTTTAATCATTCTCTAGGTGACATCCTGTCCCACAGTAATCTCAAGGGAGTAAGCCAGAAAGATGGAAAGTAGTAAAAAGAGAGATAGATTGATAAGCATGAACTTTGTACAATAGGCAATGCTAAAGGCATTTGGTTAAAGCAAGAAAACAGCAGACAGTAGCAGGGTCCCTCAGCAGGATATGAACCTATGGCACTGCTGCCTGGGATTTCTGGCTACGTGGCATTGTTTTACCAACAAGTCAGGATTTGCATTCAAGTAGGGTGGAAATAGAAGGCTTCCAGGCATCTCATGATGTGGGTTGGGGAACACATGCGTATTAATTACAGATAAGCTATGACTAATTGGAAATAAACAGTGAAATATGCTGGAGAATCAGCAAGAAAACAAAATTAGCGAGACAAGAGAAGGACCATAAACAACATATACTTATTGTATACATCAAAATGGTATGACACATTATTTTATTTCACTTTTCACATGATGCACAAATTAACTTTTCAAGAAGTATTTAATTCCAGAATTGATAAAGTGATATTTTTAGATACCAGTCCCTCTCACACCTGCAGAAACCAACCAGTGTATGGCTGAAAATAGCACTTAGACAAAATCCTGAAAAAGTAATGCAAGAAGTTACAAACAAAAGAATCACATGTTACTAAATAAACAATTATTGGTTACTCAAAGGCAAGTGCTGAAGTGACTTTTCAACATATAAGGAGATGAAATAGTAACACTCACTTCCATCAATTTAGGTTCTACTCCAAATAGATTAAAGATTTTATCCCTAAGCCTGACAGTGTTTTGCAGGAAAGAGTAATATGGCTAATATATTTTGGAAAAAAAAGTGCCAAGTTTTTGGGTGCACAGTTTCTTAGAAGGTATGAAAAAGAAAGTGCAAATCTGAAGCTAAATGCTAGTAAGAGGTTCAACCAAATTCAAATGTTAACTAGTCTACCTGAGATAAAAGCACAAGCTGGATCTCAAGAACAGAAAGCAAGTATCTGCAAGGCCACAGGCAAAGTTCATTAGTTCTTGTGGACAGGAAAAAAAGCCAAGCAGTAAGTAAAATGCGAAGTGGAAGTAAAATAGGGGGGAGGGACACAAAACTAGAAGAATAGCAAAAAGGGAGAATGAGAAGACTGCAGTGAGTTACCTAAGAAAAACAATAGTACAGGTCAACTAGCAGTGGAACAACAGTTCATTTATGGACTTCATTGGAAAACGTGCACTACACTAACACTACATTACCAACCTTAGTTACTAATTGTTGGAGCTTACAAGTACCAGGGAACTATGTTCATAAGATTGCAAATACAATGTTAAGATACTTAGGTTACAAAATCTATAAAGAGCAAACTCAAGAAGTCACTGCTGAGTTCATGATAGTCACTGCCTTTGCTGAATGGGCAGAGAAGGACCTCCCCTGAGACCTGTGGTTCATGGACCACAAAACTCATGGAAGATTTAAATAGCTGGAACAGCTAAATTCCAGACTTGGAAGGTCTAAGATGTCTTCCTCCTACAATATTAGCTAACCACCTTTACTGAAATCTTGTTTTATTACCACATCCAGAGAACACACTTCCACGTTAACTCAAAAAGTTGAAGTGGAAATGGAAAATCTTGAACCCAAATGGTATATTTCCCTCTCTATGCTCTGATGATAGAATCAGCATAATTAACCACTAGATGTAAATTAGAATTTCAAGAAACATCTCAATAAAGCAGTTTTTAAATACACTATTAATTTTTATGGTATCTAAAAGATGCTGTCCAACAGAGTGTGTCAATGATCTGGAACAACAAACATGTCTTAGAAAGTTTATGTTTTATTCTGTTAAGCTTCAGATTTCTGTTTTTCTGATCAAGCACAATGGTAGAATGATGTTTTCTAATTAATACTTCTGTGCAGAATTCACAATGGTTTTTAAAAGTTCTTTTTACTGAAAGCAAACAAAAACATCCACCCAACCTCAAAACATATCTGCTAAAACTGAACATCTGTTTGCACTACAAAGCCGATGTCAAACACGTATCAAAGCAACAGTAATCTTTCCAAGAACAACTACTTCAATTATTTTCCAAGTTCCACTGAAATTATCTTCTAACAAGGCAGGAATTATTTTTGTAGCTCAACCTGAAGATGTACACTGATGGCTTATTAGGAATACAGCAATTACTGCATAGATGTATACTGCTAAGTTTTCTGGCTAGAATGTTTGAAGACAATTTCTCTCTCAAATTATTCAAACTTATCCTAATGTATTTATATAACTTCTAATGATCTAATATTTAGGTCCTGTGTAGTAAAACATTTTTTACATTAAAGCTTATGTGTAAACATCTCACCATTTTACCATAACACCCCAAAATACAAATAAAATTAAAAAAATCAGAGAGAGGAGTGAAGATTCATCCAGTGTTTAGTATCACTCAAGCAATAATACACTTTCTACAAACTGCTACTAACCCTCATTAGTGCTTTTATATTTTTTCTTGGGCAAAGTACAGTCCTATAATTCAGACCTTCCCAAAGGCATGTGAAAGGAATTATGAGTAAAAGATAGAAGGTATGATAAAATACACCATGACACTTTCATATTAAAGCCTCCAACATATTGAAAATGAAAAATTTAGCAGCAGTTATATCACACACAGGAAATACTTTGTTTTATTTATGTATGTGGAGAGACACCACTGACATTTTATAACATGGAACAAATATGATTCTCCAGTACTGGGGACCAGCATCAAGCTGACCTGTGATGTCTGTACTGTGCAAATAAAGCATCTGAAGGTGCGGCACCTTAGTGACTGACTTTCTAAAGGCAAAGACTTCAGAGAGTTGGCTAGACAATATACCAGGCATAGCTCATTTTACTCCTGACGGTCATAGAGCAAAAGTTCATAGGTGACAGAGAAGACCAGTATCTGTATTTCCTCCCGCAAATCTCTAATACTAAGGGGAACTCTCTCCAATAAACAGAACTGTTTGTGTTCCAGTATACAGAAACAAACACTCAGTTTAGGTACTCTGCATCATCACTCTGGAAGAACTCCTGTTTCCACTAACAGTAAAGGATGCATGAAGAATATTAGGCTCCTTAATTAGGGCCTCTATATTTGCTATCTAAGCTAGTCCGCATGAAACACCTGCTCACAACCCGAATTCAAAGAGAACATCAATAGTTATGTTGTGTATCAGATGCTCTCTAGCTCCGCAAAATCCCTGATTTTTGCTATCAAATATAGTAAAAAGTGAGTGTAAGCTTTAGAAGAGATTGAAACAACACAATGCATGTCTCAACATGCATAACTTTCTACCAATTTGACATCCTCTGAATGCAAACGACTGTAAAAAGGGTGAGTACTTTGGAGCACACACCTTGGTGACTAATTTTATGCTTTTCTTACACATCATTATATTGGGTAGGCCAATCACATCCAAATTCATGTTTGTTGATCCTATAAATTTCCTCTGCTTCCTACTGGTGACCACAAAGTCAGATGCATTAATTGTTTCTTCCTGCCACAGTGTCTGTCAGCACGAAACAGATCTCAGTGCTTACGACCAAGCTTGGTGGTTCATATTGTAACAGGATGAATTGCCTTCTCTTTAAAGTCCCTATGTTTTAAAATGGGCTAGCTACTCAGACTACTTTAGCCACCCAAATACATCTGTAAGCAGTAACTATTTATGGTTACCAACTATCTTAATAGCAAATATTGATCTTAGGCCTGAGACTTTACTGCTTGTGAAGCAGTATATGTAATGGAAGATAAAAAGTGTAAAAGTAAGTTCGGCCCAATTGTGCCTGTTTTGGCTGGGAAACAGTTAATTTTCTCCATAGGAGGTAGTA